AGGGACTACGAATACGGGTTCGGGGGTTGCTGCACATTTTGCCCCGGAGTCTCGATCTTCGCGCAAGAGAAGGGCGTGTGTGTGCTTCCATGGCTTCCTGAAATGCATGGGTAGACGTCATTTGGATCTGGTAAACAAAGCCAAGGACCATGCAACTTGCACATATGCAGGCGTGGTGGCCAGTGGCAGTTGAATGTGGTCCAGCGGGACAAGAGTGTCACTTAGCGATAGTTTGCAAAACCATTTTCATGCACGGCCAAATCAGCTAAATAAATGACTTGCAAATGCGTGTTTTCTGTTGGTCACTAAGCCATGCAACTTGAATGAAGAAGGGAGGACGCGAAGAAATGATAGTAACGACATTTAAGCGAGCATTATGCGCTGCCAGTTTTATCCAGGGCAACCATGGCAGTAGGGACAACGGTTTGGCATGTCACGAACAGAGCGCCTTATCCCGTTGTGAAGTGCTTTAGAAGGGCCATGCGAGGTTACGCTCGTTACCCGTCCGTCGTTACTGCAGGTGGCCATGTCACCCACAGGGTCCATGGCGACACTCACCGCAATGCGGTCGTCTACGTGTGTATTGAGTTGGTGGCAGGATGTAGTTGTTGGTTAAGCATGTTGCAAACGAATGCTGGTGAGCCCCTCAGCTTTTCGAAAACTCAGTCAACTTCAAGAAGTAGCCTGGCCCTCTCACTATTTGGGAAATTCCTACGCCCCATTTAAGCATCATTCCTCTCCTAACATGACGGCAAACGGGCTTCATTACGTGCGCTTGTGTGACATACCAAAGAACATATTAGAGGAAGACATCATCCATGTTGGTCGTGTACACACATGGCGCAGTGAAAACTGTCTCGAACAATGCAACACGCTCGGCGTCCTACGCGACGCACCTTAATTTATGCATTTTATATGTGCATGGTGATACGGACGGGATCATGGGACGTTCGCACGATCTATCCACTTACCAGTCAGTCACACAAGCGGGTGAAGATCGGCATGAGCAGATTTCAACGAATCCATTGAAAACAACGCAATTTAACGTATATTGTGCTAAGCATTTCAGCAAGAAAGGGCAAACCAACACGTGATGTCGTCTGGCTGTGCCGCCGCCGAGCAGACGCACGCGTGTGCGTAACGGGTGCGTTAATTCATCTGGCTGGCTGGTAGTGACCTGGGCAGGTCTCGGGCTCTCTGACCACATCATGGTCAGGCACCGCCACCCACTTTACCGACCCCCAACAACAGCCCATACGTCAATGCAGTACAATGTACGCGGGCATGCACACCAAAATACACTCGGCCACCGCACCAGCAGCGGTGAGTGCCTCTGAACGCCACGTTAGCACGTTAGTAGGTCTACACCATGTGGCAGTGATTGTCACAGATTTTTGTTGCGATCACAACATGTGGCACGGAACAACGCGCGGTGATTGCAGCTTGTGGCACAGCACAACTTGTGGTGATCACAACTTGTGTAAAAAACGATTGCTCCAAAACGCTCACCACACGGCTTGTACGCGACACGAGACGCCCGTTTTTGGATAAAGACCGTACCCGCAATACCAGGGCTGGACAACCTAACAGTCATTCTCGGGCCGACCGCCTTCAAGTCGTCGGCAACCACCGTCGGCGGCTAACGCTGCTAGGCGCGGCCGTCGGTGGCCAACGCCGCTGGGCGCGGCCGTCGGCGGCCAACGCCGCTGGGCGCGGCCGTCGACGGCCGACGCCGCGCTGGGCGCGGTGCGTCGGCGGCCAACGCTGATGGGCGCGGCCGTCGGCGGCCAGCGCTGCTGGGCGTGGCCGTCGGCGGCCAACGCTGCTGGGCGCGGCCGTCGGCGGCCAACGTCGCTGGGCGCGGCCGTCGGCGACCAACGCTGCTGGGCGGCCGTTAGCGGCCAGCGTTGCTGGGCGCGGCGCGTCGGCAGCCACCGCCGCCCTTTCGGGGCCAGCGACACAACGTAAGCATGCGGCGGGCCATGACGGTGAGCGCTGCAAGCGTTTGAGCGTAGCCAGGACAGCACGTCAGTGCATTGAACCGGAGCCGAGGGGGTGCGCTGGCCGACGCCGATACACCGCCACCACGCCTGAGCGGGGACGGAGCCAGGGGATGACCAGGGACCTGCCGCCCACCTGCCTGGACCACGGCTATGAAGCGCAGCCTCCCTGGGGCATGTGGCTGCTCTGGGCACACCGGAGTGTGGGCGGATGTCGGAGGGGTCTCTGGAGGCACCGGGGTTTGGCTGACTGGCGGAAGGCGGACTCTAGTAGACACTTGGAGCGTGCGCTGTTTTCGGGGTAGGTCTGGGGGAGGCGGCATCTGAAGTCATTTTTTCACGGCAGCCCCTGGAGACACCTGGTTCGGCTTGGCGGCGTTTGGTTTCGATGAACGCCGCGGGAAGTCCGTGGCGACACTCACTTTGGTGAACCGAATCTCCTATGTAAAGCCGCTCCTCGGCGGGCAGCGGGAAGGGGACGCCCCGGCTCCGTCCTCGCCTCGCGGTCTATCAATTCGTCAATCCGCGTCCCAATCCGGATCACACACTGAGCATGAGTTTCTCAAATCCACAGCGCAGGAAATAAACACACAACTACGGCATGACAGATCACTGATGCAATGTTTGTGCTTTGCGTGGAAATTTTGTTCACACAAGTAAAAAGTGAAGCACACTGCACCGCTTCCAACGACAAGGGCAGTTCACAAAATGTGCATGGCTCTATCCTGCCGTGCCCCGAATGACCGAGTTGTCAGGGAAGCACCGGCCTCAACTAACCCAACTGACTGGACAACATCAAAAAACGTGACTTTGCCGCCCGTGCCCGGGGTTTTAAAGCTCCGTAATCGCACATCTGCAGGCTGTGCGAAGGTCCCATTCGGATCTTATCCCAGTCGGATAAGCCCAGTGGTTCATCTCAGCCAGACCCGGTGACTTCCCACAACACAAAGCACAATCCAGCACTCAACGGCAACTGCGCGACCCAGCCATCGGTGCACCCTGGCGAGCCCATGCTCGGTACCGGCCGGCACAGCAGGCAGCTTCACGTTCGATCCCAATTATCAGCGACAGCGCCGATCCCAGTGCACGGTACGATCAGCGCTACCGCCGACAATACCGTCTGTCAAGTTGTACCTCAATGTTCATGGAGTTCAGATATATGTGTATATATCATGTACAAATGTCTCAGATGCGCTCAAAAGAAAAACGCCCGGCGTTTTTATTCAAAACCAGTAAATTAATGTAGTTGGCCCTTGTGTAAAACTTTGCTTTCGCTGTGTCACTTGAGAGTTTCGTCAAACACGGTTAAATAGTATCTTTGGATGGAGCGCAGGGTAGTAAAGCGGATGTCATAATACTGTTCCGGGTAGCAGCAACCTCGCGAATTGGCTTAGGTTACACTGTTCCAAATGTTGGAAAGAACACTAAAGGGATGTTGTCACGGCCACAAGCAATCAAGGTGTGGGCGTGTATGTGTGTGTGTGTGTGTGTGTGTGTGTGTGTGTGTGTGTGTGTGTGTGTGTGGTGTGTGTGTGTGTGTGTGTGTGTGTGTGGTGTGTGTGTGTGTGTGTGTGTGTGTGTGTGTGTTGATTTCATGGTTAGTGTTTGTCGTGCTACATCTTCCTAAATCAATGGAAGGCCTGGAGCACTCATATGCAAACAACGCGAAAAGGAGTCACGGCTTACTTTTTAAAAGAGAGCAATTGCTTTTCTTTTACTACGTCTTACCTGACAAGGCTTGGATCGAGAGTGGATTTTTCTCAACACTCGCTGGCTTTTACAACCGAATGTGTTGCAATTACATAAAAGGGATTGGGTTCACTCCAAACTCCAAAATCGTTGTGGAGTAGGTAGAGAGCTTTACTACTTTCTCGTGATTTCTTTGGTGCCCTCTTTTTTGTTCCAAGTTTCCGTTGCGCTGCAGCGCCGTGATAATTCTACTAAATTGTCACTTAGCCAATGACTCAATTGGGGGGGGGGGGGGCACCATTTGATGGTGCTTCCATCATGGTAGCGTTGCATTTCATAGCGTCCTGGCGGAAGGCGAAGCGAAACATTCGAAAATCGTTGGGATTATAACCATATTTCGGAGATTTGGAACCGTCTACCCTTTCTCACAAAAGAAGGGTTTCAAATGCTGGAAAAAGCGGAAGGATGAAAACAGCTTCATGTGGGTAATTTGGATGGTTAGGTCAACAGCGCGCACCAAAATATCTAACTAACCCCGCCTTTGGTTTTGCTACAACCGAAACCCTCTACATTCACATTCTGCACGAAGTCTGCAACAGCCCCGTGATACTATTCCGAATGCTTGCAACGCACACGCATGTGTCCCACAGGTAAGGTGCTATGCTGCAACCAGGCAATACAGCTAGTTTCGTCATCAAAAGCACAACTATACTTGAGCCGGGAGACCTCTTCCTACGAACATGCTGGCAACATCAGCTCCAATAGACCTCCACAAACGCCATTGATCAACTACTCCTGCATCATGCGGACACTTTCAACTAGCGCCCACCAAAATGTTCAACGTCAAAAACAGGATCAACCACGGCTTTTCAAATGTGTTCAACTGGTCCAGGCTGAGCCGCTGAGCTGGTCGCATTGGCACTGTGCGCTTGGGGTGAGAGGAGCGGCCCGGCGCCGCTCGGCAGCGGCGGCTCGCCGAGCCGGCGGCGCCGGCCGCCAGCTGAGCAGTGTCGGCCACCGGGCGGCCGCGATCAGAGCGCCGCGTCGTCCGCCAGGCAGCAGGGCGAGCAGCGGGGGCGCGGCGCGCGCCGCCCGCCGGCCGGTGGCGCAGTCGGCGGCGCAGCCGGCTGCAGCAGCACGCCGGCTGCGCTGGGCTGCGCCAGCTGCCGCGCCTGCAGCAGCTGGTCGCGCCACCTGCCGACCGTCTCTGCCGGCACGTACGTGCTCTGTTCGGGGTCGTCCGGCGGCCGGCCGACTCATTGCGAGGCCGACGGCGGCGGCTCGGCCGGCGGCGGCGGCGGCTCGGCTCGCCGTGCGTACCGCGGGTGCTCACTGATGCTGTGGTAGTGGCCGTGGTAGACGACGCCGATGTCACGCAGCACGTCGCCGCGGATGGTCGCCTTCAGCGTCCAGTTGTGGCAGTCGTCGCCGTCCTTCTCGCGCTCCATCCGCTCCACGTCCAGGATCTTGGAGCTCAGCCGCTCCAGGATGATGCCGATGTCCTTGATGCTGAGGTAGCGCGTTCGTTCCACACTCAGCTGGTCCACCAGCAGCAGCAGCTTCTGGCTGGTGCCTTCCTCGTTGACCGTGTTATCCCCCTCTGACTCGGAGCTTTCCTCTGCCGTCGCGCCCTTCGCCGCCGCCGCTGCTGCCGTCTCCGCCCGGGCCACCTCGTCGAAGCGAGCGTGCGTGAGCGGCCGGCGGCCGCTGGCGGCCTCCTGAATAGGCGACGTGGCCGCCGACTTGGTGGCGGTGGTCGGCGCGCCGCCCCGATGCAGCGCGCAGCAGTGGAAGTCGCACTGGTCGGCCGGCGAGCCGCGCGTCGCGTGGTGGTGGTGCACGTGTGGGTGGTGCGCGCCGCATTCGGCCGTGTGCACGTGCACGGTGCCCGACTCAACCGAGCTGCCCTGGCGCGTCAGGCGCGCCGGCCCGTACGGTGGCGGCGCGCCGTGGGGCGGCACCGGCGGCGCGGCGTCCGGCGGCTCACTCGGCGTCTCGCCCACGCCGCGCACCACCAGGTGCGCGCGCCGCTCGGACCGCTCGCCGCCCGCCGCCGAGTCCCAGTGCAGCTGCACGGTCACCTGGCCGCGGTTGTCGGCGATCTTCCAGGAGGGCGCCTCGTCCCGCAGGTCGAGCGCGTGCATGGTTTGGCAGACGATGCGTGGGATGCAGGTCAGGGCTGGCGGCAGGCGAGACGGCGCTCAGTCAGCAGCCTGCCGCCGACGTTGGCCATTACACACCTCCAACTGAGCACAAATAGCTCCGTGGACGTGGCATTTAATCGACATACGAGGGGAATAGCTTCATTTTCTCATGTTTAAGTACCACAACATGCTTCATGACATTTGCAGCACAGACAATGTTTCCAAAGTTGTATGCTTGTATCCTGCGGTTCTACACCCTGAATTGTACGCTAGGAAAGCTCGTAGAAAGGAAGCGTTTCCAGTGCTGAGGGGTCCATAAAGTGATTGTGAGGCTCCATCCGTCACACAATGGCCCTTCGAATGAAGACCGAGGGCTGAGCGCGAGCGAATCGTCCAGACACCTGCTCTGAGCATGTCGACACCGGGCGGCAGCCAGCGGTCCGAGTCCCGCAGCAGAAGGAAGACTGTGTTGTCCGGCAGCGTGGCGAAATACTCGGTGTCGTCCACGGTGGTGCCGTCCGACTCCAGCACGGCCGAGACGCCACGGCTGACGTCATACTTGAGCTTTTCTCGACCTGGCGGCAGGCAGCGAAAGGGCTGGATAACATTAGGTGAATGAAGTTCCTGAGGTTCTCATGGAGCCAACATTGTCGTTTCTCGAACGGTCAGATTTAGGACACCTTATATATTGCTGTTCTCTCAGGAGGTTGAGCTTCGTTTCGAGGGTTTCTTTAAATAATTCGAAACATCTGGTGCGTGTAAATATATCAGTTCCTAGCAAACAGTTAGGCGTGTTCTCTGGCGTGGCACGAGCAAGGTAGTGGTGGAGACTGTACATATAAATGTACACATACCCACGCATATATGAATGCATGTTGTAACGGCACTGGCACCGGTAGACGCTCCGAATGTGTGAATCGTCAGTTTCGCCAGTCCAGAACGCAAACGCCTTCGCCTTCTTTTCAACACTTCATGTGCATCGGTGGCAGATAAGATCAGAGCTTTGGGAAGGATATTTGTCATTCAAGACCAGCAAAAACAGGAATGGCTTCTAAGACTACATTAGCAAAATGTTTTGCTGGAGATTTAAGCAAAACTCCGATCAGACTTGGAAGTTTCTCCAAATCATTCAGTAGGAACATTGGAATTTTGACTCAAAATTCTTCCACGGTACGCAGGCCAACTATCTGGCTCAAGCTCAGGGAAATTGTGTGTCTTGCGGTCCGTCCAAATGCATTGGGGGGGGGGGGGGGGGCGGAGGCTCAACTCAGGGGTCCGGACCTGGTTTACCCAAATACTATTTGTACGAGAAGCTCAATAACCCGATTCCTGGTTCAGGGATAGGTCATTATAACGTAAAATGCGGATCTAGGAACAGATCCATTTTATCATGCATCCCAAAAATGCAACAATGTTAAATGTCAGAATTTCATACACCAAATGCCAGATTAAATATCCTCTAGAAGCCTGTTTGTAAGAAATGGCACGGAACATCGAGCATGAATTTTCGCGATCAAAATTCTCCTCATAATCTTTGTCTCAAAGAAGTCACATTAAACTGGTTTGCCGTTGCATGACGCAACAATCGACGCCTATTTACATGTTTTATATACGCACCGTTTTCCCGTAGCATAAATATTGCGCGTTGCATTTGAACGTGGATTTCCCTGACATATACTTCTGGCACCGCGTTATGCTCATTGGCATGTACGAAATCTAAGAAACCGTAGGCAAACATGCCATGTACATGGCATGTATCACAACCCCCATAGTATCACAACCTTCCCTTGGCCTCTTCCAGAACCAGATCACTCTGGAGAAATTTTTGACATGGACAGGGTCACATTAAAGAGGATGTTCTGGCCGCCACACTTGTACCCTAAAGTTGGAAACCATTCTACCACCAAATTTCGGAGTCCTATTTGACATTGCCAGTCTGCGTCGAAAAGAGCTTGGAAACGTGTTGGGTGTAATGACAGACCAAATAGACTGTTCTAGTTAATTGGAAGAGGCTTATTTCTATAAGCTGAGTGAAAAGAGAGAAGGAGCGAAGTTTAGAGCCCCCAACATGTCGGGGCGGACGCGCCTATAACGCCTCGTCACGACGTATCGACTTGGCGCGACGACGCGTGATGGAATGAAATGCGAGAGTCTGGAAATACCGGACCTCTGCTATAATCCGTTGGAGAGGATCTATTTATACACTCTCTGGTGGGAAACGGGTAGCCAAATACAGCGCAGCAAATATGACAGAGGTGGCGTTCTTGGCACGGACGTATCGACCAAGCGCTGTAGTGATCCTACTGACCAGCTGCACTACACTTGGTGTTCCAGAGGCTCACATATCATATTGTGGCCTCGGCCTTCACCAGCGGTGCCTCATCTTCCCGTGGAATTGTCGAGGGTGCCTCAGGAACCACTGGCGTCACGGGCTTGTAAACGTCTCGAGACTTCTACGCATTGTTGCGGCCCTCCAGCGGTTTTGGGACCGTTTAAAAAATGTTGACGGGTCTTGGCCATCTGCGTCGCTGACCGCTGTTCTCTTATTCGTCCCAATGTTTTGCGGGGATGGTTTTGAATCGCAGCCCTTAATAGGCAGGGAACAGCTTGTTGCGAAACCCCGAACTACGCCACCATCGCAAAAAAGTTATAACGCAACGGATTATTTCTGCCGAAAGATACTTACTTGTCGCGCAACACTGTAACACAGACCAGCCCGTTCCATTCCGGTTGTCTCGGCCCGGTACCAATCGACCATCGAAGGCGAGTCACACAAACCTGGTTCTCAGGGCGGCAACCTACGTGTCTGTCACCAATCGGCCAGTGTCCGGTACCCTTGATCTCATCCAGTTGGTGAACTGAGCTCTATCAGGAGGGCAGACGTCCACGGACTTCTGAGTCCCCTTGATTTCCTCATCGTCTCAGGATAGGAGTCACTTCATTCCCGCCAGGTGAGCATTTTTCTCACCTTCACCGTAGGAGGGTTGACAGAGACACAGTTCATTATTGGAGCGAAGACTGTCCCAAAAGCAAAACACACCAAAGTAAGACGCTTGGGCTCAACGGACGTCGTTGAGCGTCGGTGCAGGGGACCTTTGGTGGGCAGAGCTAGGCCATTGGGATAAAAAATCTGTCTGAAATTCATCTTAATTGTAGGAAAACAATTGGAATGATTTTGACGAACAATGATTAATCAAAGATTTTCACACCGCGTTTGAATGTTATAAGCCCATGTAACAATTTTAGCATCACGCTCAAAACGGCCTAAATATTGTCCCACAAAATGGCGGTGGCCCGCATCCGAAGGCTTGTTCGGCGTCAACCGAGGTAAAATGTCTTATTCATTTCACATATCCGGCTTAGTTGGCTGCATCGGGAGCCTGAAGCGTTGGCCTTGACACGTGCTCGGGTGGGGGTCAAATTATCCCCCAAAGATTTTTCCGGGATGGTTTCCGAACGGCATGACGTGGTACCGTCAAATTTTGCATAGCTGTAGACAATTGAGTAACAGATCGCTTGCATCAAAAATGTAGATGTTCCTTGCAAGGTCGCTGACCTATGGCAGATTAAAATCAGGCTAGGGTTTCAGCAAAGGCACTTCTATTGTTCAACCGTTCAATCTGATCCAACAACGGAGAGTTAGACGAAGCCATATATCTCTGAGATGCTCTCTTTGGCAACGTAACAATTGAATAAAAAAATTGAATCAATCTAGGGTCGAGCGTGAAGGTCAGACCAAGGTCAAAACCAACCTGTTTTATTACTGCAGGCCTTGCTGTGTGGTGTAGTTTCTGGTGCTCATTTCAGATTTACTGATTACAGGAACCGCATTATATACCTTTCATGGACTTCTTTAAGGTCAAAATAGGTCACTGACCTGAAATGACCCAGGTAAACATTTTGTTTTGAGGAACATGCTGCCTAGCGTATTCCTTGCCGCTTATCCAAACGCAAAACTCAATGTAGTCTTTGATGATTTTGGTCACCATGACCTTAAAAAGGTCAAACAAGGTCGTTCACCTTAAATGAGCGTGACATTTTGTTTAGAACAGCTATCGAGGTTCTGAGGAGCACCTTGGATTGACCTACCTGAAGATTGGCCTTGTTTGACCTTATTTGACCCGCGGGTCATGACTTAGGAGCTTCAAACTTTGACCTAAGTGTGTTTACGTATAGTTCAACACATCCTGTAAACTTGGCGCATCTAGCTTTCTTAGTTCCTGAGATCTCAGCGGGTCAAATTGACCCCCACCCGAGCGAAGGGTATCCAACCGGCCATCCGGGCCCGTGTCAAAGCCTGTTGATAGTTTCTCTTGGCTTTTGACCTTTGCCTGCTATTTGGGAGGATCTTTGGACGTCAAGTCAGTGCGGCAATGGGCTTCTTTTGCTCCCATGGTTTCATCACAAGTTCCTGTCCACTTCACTGGCCCAGGGATCTTTCAACGTTCCCCAAATCATATTTGCGTTACCAATGAGGTCTCGCTGGACGTCTAAATGGTTCACTAAGTTCCTGTGGCACCTCATGTCTTGCAAATGGTGACCAGAGTCGTGCGCGCGCCATATGCCAGTGGCAGCGGTGCTGTCACCCTAAGTCACCCCTGATTTCCGTTGTATACACGGCACCTATAACTGCTAGCACAGCTCCGGCTGGGCTGCAATACACAACAAAAGGCATGCCGCAGCGCGCCAAACGTAACGAACATTTCGGTTGTTCCTGCGCACGGTCAGAATAAGATACAACGTAAATTTAAGGGGAAATGATCTGATGAGTGGAATAAAAGACGAACGTGGATGTTACACCATAGTAAGGCAACAATATCCATCTGAAAAAGGCTTACACCTAGATCACTGAAGTATGTTTTTGAGATTGTTTTTTTTACCCCCTTAGATCATCTCCCTCGGTAACTCCTGTCCATGCCTTAAAAGGAATATGATACCTTTTTGAACCGTTCACTTGTTGTCTGATTAGGCGCGTCCGATTTCATTATTAATATCAGCTTTCTCGAGATCCGACTGACTAGCTCAGAATTTCGATTCGAGGCAGCCGCTCCTGCGGAAGAAATGTCATTGGACTCTGCTCACCACTATAAAAGTAATACGTTTAATTTGTCTTGCTTTTTCCAACGCATGCATTCTGCAATGTTTCCAACATATTTATTTGTCGAAATGCTCGGGAAACAAATTCTATGAAAGCTGGAAACACTCTCTTTGGAGAAAAAAGTGTGGAAACATAAGGTTATCAACCGGCGAATTCAACGAAATGTTACACTATGGCTTTGAAGTTTCACCTATGGAGTTAAGCACAGTGACTCTTTTCGAAGCGCGCTTTGGTTTTGGGAAACAGGGTATGACATGGTCTCTAGTAATGCACCGGTCCGAACTTCAGCCAATGCATTTCTCGGTAACTGGCCTTTACCGCCCGCTCTGCCAATCACGGACGTTCATTTGTGCTGACGTCATTCATACCAAAAAAGGTGCCTTTTTTAAGCCCGCAGGCCCGCAATGTGCGGGTTAAAACAGCTCAAAAGTGGTACCTCTGACACGTAGCAATTGACAACGGCCCAATGCAGATTCTGCCGTCGTCATGATGACGGCGGTCGCTACAACTGCAGTTGTCCCGAACTTGGGATGCACTACAGGTATACCAAAAAAGGAAGAAGTGCAGTGCGTTTACAAAGCGTTGACAGAGTAATTTTGACGCAAAACTAACTAAAATGTATCTTATAATATAATGATGGTGCTGCGGCGGCACTGTCCAGTGGTACCATCAGATACAAATGGTCCTGATGTTTCATCGGAGTGTGCTCATAAACTTTTCCTATAGGCGGGACACTCCCTTCAACCGAACGCCTTTCGATGGCACAACACAGTCGTGATTTTTTGCGAGTGTAACGGAATATTCCTGATGGAGTGACATGGAACAGACTCGGGAGACATGGAACATAGCCGGGAGACGATTGAAAGATAATAGCTGGTTGGGCTTGGGACGGACTCGGGAAAACTCGGGACAATCGGGAAACTTGGGGCATATAGTCAGGGGACTTGAGACAGATAGTCAGGATATTTGGAACAGATGACCGGAAGGCTTCGGGCATGATGAGTAAATCTGTGGCAACATTGCTTACATAATCATTGAACAAGATATAGTGAGTTAAAAGTGAACAATCAACGCGCGAGCTATAATTCGCGCATTGCTGGTCCACTTTAAAATAAACGTACCCGTTCGTTGTCAACCATTGTATTCGAATTGTAATGGCATTTACACCTGCAGATCAGTCCGACCAATCCGACACCCATCAAGCTAATTCCTGCTCAAACAGATATTTGAGCTGGGATCTGGCCTTCTATGAAACTTTTCTAGTAGTGGAGGCGGCGACCCTTTGTCGTATTACACAAACACTCTCCGGATCCCAAAGGTCAAGTATTTCAGTACATCATTCGCGTCATGACAGACAATTGTCATGCTTTGAACTGGATATTGCACTTGGTCTTATGAATTTACTTTTATCCAGCATAATAGTAATGCATGTAACGCACAAAGCGAGTATATTTTAAACAGCACGCGGCAGTGCTCACGCTCCGCACTTCACTGAACTCGGAACAGATCTCAGACATACAACTCCAAAGCTGCTCCAGTCTGAGCAGAGCATACATCCTCAAGCTTGACAAATAGTTCACTGTATCCACGCTTTGGCAGGTCGGCCATATCATGCGCCAGAAACAAAGCGAGAGCATTCCATTCTGTTGTCATTCGTCGAAGCAGCGGAATGCAGCGGACGTTCTCTCCGCCCTGCACCCGTAAAATCCAGTCTGCGTTTCACTGTTCGCTCTTCTGGTCCCTGGCAAATGAAGCGGCCTCCTTAGTTTCCTGCCTTGTTTCCCACGACCTTTGTTCCGCTGTTTGCCGCCTCTGCATTTTCTCCTTTCTTTTCTTCTTCCTTTGCAGTGCTTGCTCTTACTTCCTTTCAACTTTTTGAACTACAGAAACGACAACGCCATTTTGTGGTTGGGCTGCGAGCCTTCATGCGCGCCGTTTTTCTCTTCGATGAGCCTTTGAGCAGCTCGTGATCTCAGCACGTCATCTTCTTGGATTCACTGGAAGGGACACCGCGCCGGGTCGAGGACGATGGTATGGGCGGGATCTCACTGTTCACCTGTGGCGCTGTGCGCCGCACCGCACCACCTGCCTCTTGGATGGGGCCAGATGTCTCAGCCGGAGCAGCGTCACTGTGGGGGTTGACCTGCAGGTCAACGTGTCAGAATACGAGGTCGGCAGCAACAGACTCTGCACGCTTGCGTGTGGCTCATTTTCTGTGGCTCGCCAAATAGTCAAATCTCGGGTGTTTTGAAACCAACAGATTAGTTTTTTCGCGGCGCTGTCAGGTGCTTCTCGTTTAGCATTATTGCCAGGCACTTCTCGGCAAGGACGCTGTTTTGTGGATGTTCAGTTGTTTTCGGGACTCTTCACGGTGCAGGAGCTGCATCCGGAGATGAAGGATAACTTCTTGTGTCCAGGCACGCTCCCCATGAACTGTTAGGTTTTGGGCCGCGTATGTGTGGCGGGAAGGTGGCTCCTGTCACGCGACTCTTATGGTCGTCGAGCGCAATCAAAGTGAGCTGCTTTGAAAAAGAGCCGGGGAACTTGAACAGGCTTCAGCATTTTGCCAAACTCATCATGCATTATCCATCCCGATTTGTGCACAAGTTGGGAACAAGCTACGGAAGAACGTTGCGGAAAAGCACAAATGTGCACCGCTAACAGGAAAGTATTACGTGATATTTCCAAAACAAAGTTTTGTTTTGAGAATATCACGGCGTGGTTTGGAAATTCAGATGAAATGTAAGACAAGCGCTGCATCTGTGCACGGGAGCAAAATCATAAGAGTGATAATCATATTAACTGTAAATTGCCCTAGGAATTTTGCCGCTTTGTGACGCTTTCTCCACAAGAAATGGTGAGATCTGGCAAACTCTTCTTTTCACACGAAATCAGAACTGCGCTAACTTAAATTTCAGCCCAAATTTGGGCGCTGGCGTGGCACAAGACTTGCGATATTTTAAAGCTCTTGCTCTTTTGTTGTTGTCTTTTTAGGCCGCTCGTTTCAGACGTCACGTACAGAAGTCTTTGGAAATTAGCCTAGCGTTGGTCGAAAAGGGCGCCACTTTGGGTATTTCTTGAGATTTCTTTTGCTTTAATTTTGTACCTAGATCGAACAAAAAAGGAGATTTTTTCATCATATCGACATCACTATTCCCGCTCAAATACTGCACGCTAGCACTAACATCACAGGAGATTGATGTCGCTGAAAAAATAATATTGATACGCAAATACTTGGAACCTGAACAACTGTGCGCCCAAATTGGCTCGAACAAATTAAGTGCATGCAGTCAAACGGCAATCGACTAAAAAGCCTGTTCCTAGTTGGCAGTTCTTGTGCTGAAAATCATGGACCTTAATTATGTCACAAGGAACTGGTTAGACCGTTGTCAAGTCAGCATTTGTTATAGTGATTACCCAATTATATTGGTCTTCAATGCTGGCCAAAGCTTGCTTGATAGCGCCGTTAACACAATGCCTCTCGGTATACTGAAGATTGATTGTTTTCAGCCTAGAGTGCCCACTCGTTATCCCGAAAAAAAAAACAGGAGCCTGAGGTCCTTCTTCATTATGTGGGGAAAAGACTAGCACTGGGACAGAAATGATTTAGTCAGTCGCCAGCCTAATACCCTATTATTATATTAAGTATTTAGGTATTATATTATAGTATTAAGGTAGGCGTGTTTAACAGGGGCATGTTGATGGCCGACGGTTCGTGAGATAGCATCACTTTACATGCATTTTGGAAAACATGATCTGCGACACCAAATGAATTTGTCATGTACATGGCCATAATCATAGGTTCTCGGAGGTACGTATATCAAGATATCGCAGGTTCCAGTGGATATATGCCAGATTCAACTGAATGTCATGCATTTTTTTGCTGCGTATTGGTCATCGTAGCAAAAAAAGGGCGAACGGAAGTCACGCTACTTCACCTCTTAACTCGCTGAAAACACGTTTCAAGCAAAGGTCGCGAAGACAGGAGGGATGCGAGAAAAGCTCTGCCCAATACGGCGGAATTTTTAATTGGTGTAGATGCGTGTCTGTGACATCCCCGGTATAGAAGAAGCGTTAACGCCCGTCAACGCGCAGGGAAAGCAGGGGTTGGAAATTGCTAGAAAGTTTGAAATACTCTTTGCATCATTTTGTTACACTTTGCCTAGAAAACTGTTTTCTCGAAAAGATACGCCCTATGACAGGAGTATTGGGTAGTAGTGAGACATACCAAAAAAGATGCCGTTGAATATCTTCGAGCAGACGTCAAAACAAAACTTACCCCTTTTGCGCTCGACTTTAAAACGGTTAATGCGGTGGATGGAGCCTGCCCCCAAAGCATCGGACGCTGTATTCACTCGTGGCTAACGTTGCTGCGCGCTGATATGTGGGAAGGACGTCATGAAACCATTTAAAATAAAGTCGAATTGGACGAGGAGCAGACAAAACTTAACATCACCAAACAATTTGATCCTGGAATAGCTAAACAAAGATGTAAACTGCGTGAGCCATCAGCGCCCTTCTCTTTACTATGACATTGTGCGCAGCAGAAAGCGCAGTGTACTAGTAACACAAATTTGGCATCCAGCGGGCTGATGACCTCACCTTTGTCACCTCCGCGGACCGACAGCCTCACCTTTATCACCTCTGTGGGCCGATGGTCTCACCTCCATCACCTCTGTGGGCCGATGGTCTCACCTTTATCTCCTCCACGGGCCGACGGTCTCACCTCTATCACCCCTGTGGGCCGATGGTCTCACCTCTGTCACCTCTGTGGACCGATGGTCTCACCTCTATCACCTCTGTGGGCCGATAGGTAGTCTCACCTCTATCACCTCTCGATAGGTAGTCTCACCTCTAGTCAGCAGCTCGCCTAGTGAAGCCGCCACCAGGCCTTTTTTGGTGTGCCTCCGGTGGTCCCAGACCTTGAACGGACGCTTTCGTCCGTCAGGCTGAAAACGGGCAACGATCGTTAGCCGTCGGAGTGCATGACGTGCAGGTAAGCCGTGGCTGCCTGACGGAGGTCAGCAGACTTGCATTTAGTCGTTAGCCAGGCTAGCTGCTTGGAATAATTTGATTTGATGTGTGATTGTTCGTGTAAAAGCGTGCAAGCTAATCGGACGCTCTTTTTTTACAAATGCGCTCTACGGTCTCAGATGGATCACTGTAAGCAATACATCAGGTCGGCCTGGAAATGTTTAGTCGGGAACAACACGCAACTCTTCGGCGCCGTTTCAAATCGCGCAGTCCTGTCTTTTCTGCCTCGATTCAGCAATGCTCGCCGTCCATCCCAGAGCCGGCAGCTCCTGTTTCATCCGAGCTTTGTGAGCGCGTTGAGCGCCAGAAGATAGGCCTCTGTCATTCAGCGCTTCAGAACTCCTGCCGCCGGTTGTCGTGGTCGAACTGCCGCGAGAACGGCTTAGTTGGCTTGCTCGCATCGTGTCACACTTGCCCAGAGTGTGCCGACCCAACCCGGGCCGACATCTGCCGGCAGCAGAGTGCCGTTCAGGGTGCCGGTGGGGATCGAGCCTATGACCTCAGCATGATCTCATGAAGATGACGATGTAACCAGCCTGGCTGTTGGAGGCTTCAGAGATGGGTGCCGGTGATGCGCTTGTTAAGGGGTGCGTTTGGGAAGCCAGAGACACGGAGTTCGATTCGCCGCGCCGCTCGCCCTTCCTGTCAGCGTAATGGCAAGCGCCGTCATATAGCCTCAGCAGCCGAGTGCGATGTAGAGTCCCAATGGCAAAGACTTCAGTGGCGCTATCATCTAAAAGGACAACGACGCTCGTCCAATGCGGCTGCTTCATGATGAGGCTACCTCGGGGTCAGATCCGACGTGGTTGACCAACGCCTGCAGGACGGTGCCCGCGGCAAGTGTGACCCTATTTCTACGTCAGACACGAGCTCACATGCCCAGTGATGGCATTATCGTCCGAGGTCCAGAGCGGGCCGTCGCCTCGAAGCAGACCAGGAGGTCTTCAGCTCGTCCACAGCACTCTTGATGACGCCCGAAGCGAGCCGTGAGGCTCGTCTCGTGCGCACGAGTCAACAGACCGCCTCGTCTGATCGCCCCCGCGGACGGTGAGCAGGGATGCTGAAGAACGCTCATCGGCCACTGACCCCCACCCCGCCGGCGCATGGCGCCACGTGGACTCCGTCGTCCGGCGCCCTGCAGTCGGCCCCGCCGCCACAGCGGCCGTGCTCTAAGCTCGGCATCGACTCGGTCGGTGCCATGAACTCCACTTCTCGCGGCTCTCAGTTCGCAGTCGGCATGGCGGGTCGCCGCCGCAGGTGGGTGGGAGTGGCCCTGGCGGCTTGCCTTGAGCAAACAGATGGCATCAAGCTTGAGGGTGTTCTTTAGGTTCGCGAGAGCCACCCAGACGTAATCGCATCGAACGGAGTGAGGCAGTCCGTTATTTAAAAAAAGAACTAGCGACGTCTCAAGCACCCCGGTCTTCGCCACATCAAGTCAGCCTTTGGCTGCACCACAAGAGCACGGTCCAGAGGTAAAGAGCGAAGACATCAAGGTTTCTGAGTGATTTGTTTTTATTCGTTTTATGTTAAATTTTTCGAGGTAGAAAAACCTGTCCAGCCCTGTCGTGGGGCCTAAGCCCCGTGGAAACGCAGCCATTAACCATTTCAGCCAAGCTCTGAGGCCGCGGATACAAAGGTACGATGGCCCTGATAGGCTTTAAAATGCATGTGGAAACGACTTCCGCTAAGTAAAGAGCTCACCCAGATGCATTTAAAAGCGAGTTATTATCCCACCTGCTGCATGGGCGAGGCACGCGCCTGAACCTGCTGGTTTGGTTTTTGTTTTTTGTTTTTTAGATTAGAGCCCTTTCCACCAGAACTGATTATTTCAGGGCTATGGGTTGAAGGAAAATGGTTAACGGTGGGGCAGACTTGGATGCGCCTGGGGGTTCAACTGCCGAGCTTTAACACGCGCGTGCGCGTTGGGCACCCGGCCTGGTCCCCTCCTCACGGACCTCTCGGTCCACTTGTGGCTGACGCATGCAGCCTGCCCCGGACAAGCAGGGTGTCGCGAGGATGCAGGATGAAGCGAGATAGAGAATAAGAGGGACAGATTAAAAACCTGCTGGTGGCGCCAACAGCTGAGACCTCGATAGACCGCTGCCTGGTGACCAGGGTAGAGCAAATACAGCTGGCAGGTAAGACTGCATTAATAACCGGACGGCGGGAAAAGCCCCACGCATCCGTGCGCGGCATTACATCCGCATCCGAAAACCGGATCATGTCCCGATAGTCGCCTGGCGGCGTCTTGGAATCCGTTCGTCCGTGTAACCAAGCGAGTGAGTGCTGCCATCTATCGGCGTTGGGGGGAAGGCCCGAACCGCGACCCGCCCCGGCGAGGAGCTGCCGGCGCTCAACGTAGGCGCCTCCCGACAGCTTGTCGCTTCAAGCCAAGTCCATCCAGCGGCACTGGGGCGGGACGCCAGTTGCCTCAGGGCTCAGTCTGACCACCTTCACCTGCGTCACGCGCTGTTTTTTTTTTTAAGGAACTTGCTCAGGCTATGTGTCTGGCAAACATTGGTGGGATATTTCATTAAGTCAGCTTTGCTGTGCAAAGATGGCAGGTCCTAGGTACATTTGTGCAGTTTGGAGGGTGTCACGTTGTTTGGCTCTTAATGTTTTCCCCTTGCTGACGTCAAAACTCATGTGATCTTCTGAATCATAGTCTTGAAACCGGCAGCTTATGCAATTCCCCACGTGGCCAATCCCCTTCGTTGCTTGAAAGGCCTCAACGACCTATCAGAAGGCTCTTTGCGCCGATCAGAGCCCCTTCAGTCGATGAGAGCCTCTGCGTCGGTCAGGCACCACCAGTACCGAACAATCGGCTTCGTGCTGGTCTGGGCAGGAGGCCCCATCTCCCACACATGAGAGCCTCTGCGTCGGTCAGGCACCACCAGTACCGAACAATCGGCTTCGTGCTGGTCTGGGCAGGAGGCCCCATCCCCCCCACATGGACAAGACCGGTGCCCGATATTTGCATTAATCGGGCCCCTTATGCAAAGAATGACCCCTGTCTTGACCAGAGGCCCACAGTGTCTATCAGAGTGTCCTGTGTCGGCTAGGGGCTCCGAGTTGGCCAGCAGAACATTTGCTGAACAGGGACGCGGACAGGGCGCCGAATGCAAGAGGGCCTCGTACATTGGTCGGGGTCCTCTGAAAAAGAAAGGAGATGTGAGGGCTTATAATGCAAGCCCACCATGAGACCAAGCCCACCAAGACCCTGTGTCAGTCAGGGCTCCAGCACCGGACGGGCCCTCCGCCCGATGTCAGTCAGGGATGTTCAAGCTCAGCTGAACTCTTTGCCAATTATTGAAGCCCTGCGATTATCAGGGATCTTTTTTGCGGCAATGGGAGCCTCTGCGTCAATCCGGGGCCAACTTACCGGGTCAGAGGATCTTCTGCAACAGGGAGGGGGTCTCCATTTTGCTAGAATGATAGCCGGTAAGCACCCCGCGCTGGGACGAAATGGCCCTTCAGTCCCTGACCGGCAGCGATAATGTGCCCCGGTCTTCTACCCATGAACCCCTGGTCTGTGAAAAGGTAAGATGTCTAATCAGGAGACTTTTGTCCGTCTCTTTCTGGATCATGATTTGGCTCATGGGCCAATCATTTTGGGATGAGTGATGAGCTGAGTCGGCTTGCTAGGAAAAATGCCGCCTTTAATCATCAGCTGAATCACATTTTCGTGAATTTCATGAGCTAAATTACGAGCCGATAATTTCTAACAGTGGTGTGTCAGTACCAAGCACTCGATGTTTTTGTTCGCGGAATGCGTGCTTTTGGTTATATTACGGTAAGAATGATCCTGCTTCTCAACCATCTATGTTCACGCCCAAATTATGGAATTTCATTGCATATTTGTCGTAAAAATGAGCGCCGTTCCTGCAAATGCTTAAGGGAATGCTGCTCCTTTGTGTGGGGATTGGAACTGAGATAGCCAGATTATAGAGCGTGTTATGATATTCAGTGCTACACCGTAATCAAAACCAAAACATGATTAGCGTACGGTATGTTTCATTTTGGGCACAGTTTAAGCATGACGTCATGAATGATGTCACACGAAAGCAGGAGAGGCCCCGATCGGCTGATAAATGTCACGTGAAACGGTCGCTGCAACGAAGGGTGTGAACGTGCTTGGTTGGAGCGTCAGTCCTCTGCAGGGTGACGAAATGAAGCTGGTTGTTATCAAAAGTCCCAGCATTTGTGAGCAGAAAACGAAAAGCAGGCTGCTAGGTTTCACGATCTGCTTAATCATAATTCAAGTGAAACACTTACATTTTAAGTCGCACTTTGCAGTGAAGTTATTTTTCTGAACGAATTCAAAGCCAAAATTTATCGAGCTCTGAAAATCCTGAGTGGAATTACAGGCGAGACCGCAGGCTGAGCGACTCTTGTTTGCACTGTGGACAACTGCTGCTCGTTTTGGTCTGAATTGTTTTGTTTCGATAAAAAGCAACACTTCAAATGAAATTTTCATACGTGATTGATGACATGATGCTACATCACCAAAGTAACTCGTGTTATGAAACATTTTTCTGCAGAGTATTGGTTCTGCCATTCACAGCTTTTATGTGGACGGCTGCTAGCTGGACGGGGGCCAATGGCCAAAAACTCAATGAACCCGTTACACAGCTCTCAAAGGGGTATACGTGCCATTTTAAAAAAGCTTTAATCTGAACCCTTTGAATGGATGGATGTCTGGGATCATACCTCACGCTAAACAGTGTTTGTTGTGTGAACTCTGACCCCTGCCATCCGATCGCGCAATTCCAAGCAACGGTAGCATTTAGTGGCCAAAGTTTTTTTTTTGGGGGGGGGGGGCGCAAGGCGGGGCAAGGTCCACCCTGCCCTCCAACGTCAACTGACCTTTAGCGCGACTGCTGCCACCGACCGCAGACTATACCTGTCAAGGATA